CGTACAGTTAAAGATTTTGACATGTAGATGGATGCATCCAAAGGTATATATGATCGACTTTATCAATTCACTTATTAAGATATTCCTTGAAAGTGAATATCGCGAAAAGATTAAGAAGATCTTCTGCGTACTCATTGTACTTGGGCTCTTTAAACGCAAAAATTCCCTTAGTTCTGCTACCCTGTAGATGGGATATTGGCGAAATTGATCAGCTCCCGGATTAAATAAAAATTAGTTATAAGACTCTTCTAGATCTTTACGAGAATTATGAAAAGGAATTATCTAGTGATGAAAAGTCTCATATTGTCTACCATGTAAAAGAAAGCTTATGTTTGAACGACCTACTATTGAAATATTTTTATTTTATTAAAAGGCAATTTCTATGACTTAAAAATCTAGAATGACGCCCTGGTCCCCAACTTTTGCTTTACATATTTTTGTACTTGACTCTCTGGTTACTATTTGTTGGCAGGGGTATCAGTGGATATTTCAAAAATCGACTAAACAGATCGAACTATACCACAGCGAATCGATTTTTAGTTTTTTAAAATAAAATTGTAGGTTTTTATATAAATCTATGACCGTACGAATAATTAGGTGTAACACCTCACATTTTAAAAAAAGAATATTTAAGTAATTAGCCAAAAAAAAAAAAAAAACAATCAAGTAAAACAAGACCAAGAATTAAAAAAAAATAAAAGAGAAAACCTTGGTGGGCCGTAGCCCTTAAACAAAAGGGCCAAAATTTTACAGTATAGCCAGTTTTCGGACTGGTCAATCAAAGATAGCCAGCGTTTACCAAGTCAATAAAAAATAGCCACCGTTTTGCTGCAATAGAGACCGATCCAGCATAATATACTGGAGTTCGGTGCACTTGTGTATGAACTCCAGCATATTATGCTGGACCGGTATAATATGATGGAGTTCCAGCATACTATCCTGGAACTCCAATGTAATATGCTGGAGTTCAAGTATACTTATGCTGGAACTTTCGCTCAGATTTATCTTTACATAAAAAGTTGCTAAATTTCGATTACTTTTGAAATTAGATAAATCTGACTATTTTTAAAAATCACCCAACAAAATGGCATCAGGTTCTAAACAATTAGAACAAGGGATTTGGCCGTCCCTTATGCATCAGCAGAAACATAAGCTATAGCAAAGTATATACAAAGGAAGAAGGGAAAGAGAAAAAAACAAAAAGAAAAAGCTGAAGCTGCGCGTTGGAAGCATAGCAATAGCAGTTGCGAAAATTTTAAGCATTAATTGATTCTCACGGGTAATACTTAAACTTCTTATGTGAGTTCTTCTAGCAAATTTTAATTTCATTTCTACGACTGAAGGATTTCACAAGAAAAAGAAAATTTACACACTAGTAAGAAATATTATGAATAAGTAGACAGGTAATGCTACTGGTTTTAGTTCATTCACGTATTTAAGAATTTTCTTTGTGCAAAATCCATAGAACTTCATAAAATTAATAAATAAATTATATGAACAAGTTGAAGTTGATAGATTACTAATTACTCATAGCGTGGGTAGAAAAAAATCGGGGAACTTTGAGTCAAACATGAAACCCCGAGGGTTGGGTATTCTAAATTAACTACGAATTAGCTTAAACAAGAAAATTAATACGAGATCGATGTTGATGTGATTATAGATTGATTGAAGAAAGTCGTACAGATCGCTCGAAGTGACGAGTTTGGTATTTCGACACGAGTACTGTAAGTAGTAACCTTACCACAATTTGTGTTTCTATAACTTGCATGATTTACACATGATTTTAATATGAACATATTACCGAGTGTTTTGAATTTGCATGTGGGATAAGTCCTTTACTCTATATGACACCAAAATAGTTATATGAGATGATTATTGTTGTTTAAGTATTCTCATTGTTACTAGATATTTTTACGGTTACTTGATATCGTACTGAACAGTTTACTTGAGATGTTTTCAGTTATTTAAAATGTTCTCACTGTTACTAGATGTATTTTACTGTTACTTGAGATATGATTACCGTTACCGGAGTTAGATTATACGATCTGATAAGAATTGAAATGCCCTGTACTATTTCGAAAATGCTTTTCATATGAATATGTATTGTTTACAAAGAAAAGATAAATGAGAGGAGACTTTGAAGGATCCCGTAGCTAATAGCAGGTTCGTTAGACTTGGTGCATCTTGCATTTATAGATTACCGATTATAGTTACAGCCCCCGCTAGTGGGAAGGTAGAACTAGCATACAGTTACTGATTTCCCTTGAGTAGGGACTACCGTTATATTTGACTTCTTGCGAAGAGGTCCATAATTATACCGATTACATGATCCTTTCCTGGAAATCTCCCAAACATAAATATTTGATATGATACAATGCATACCAAGTTTATTATGGAATCGTTAAATTGATTTCTGTTACAGGAAACATATGATGAGACTGAATATTTTTACCGTTTTTGAAAGGGCATTTTATTTTTATGATAGTTCCTGATTATTATTATACAAGCATGTTTTGTGACTTGTCCCCAGTTAAAAATGGTTGTGGTTAAGTGTTATTACTCACTGAGCTAGCGACTCACTCCCCGCTATTATCTTTATAGAGACAGCAGTAGACACAGGCCAGGATTCCGTTAATTAGAGTACACGTGTTGATAGTTCCTGGTGAGCCCCGCATTTATTCGTGTGGGCAAAGATTGTTAGTTATTTGTTATAGTCTCTTTCTTGAAACTCTAAGAGTTGCTCCATAGTCATTTTTGTGAGTGTCATAAGTATTCTTTTATTGATATAGACTTGTGACTCGTATTAGACTTTCCTACCGTATACTTAAAGATGAAGTTAGTATTATTATGTTGAAAGTACTTCGTGAATGAGGATTATAACTTGTTTGGTCGATATAGGTTGGTTGTGTTGTTGATTTCTAAGACAGGTTTATTTTTGGATAGTCCTAAATCAGGAAAAACTCTGTCCGAGTTTTTGTAAATTACCGATGAGGCTTACTTGGGAGCACTTGCTCCTAAGCGCCGGTCATGATCCTAAATTGGGTCGTGACAGTAGGGTAGGCTTTTATTTTATGAAAATAAATCGAAAAAATACCGAACTATACCAAAAAAATTACATGTGAAAAATATATTTATATGTTAGGTTTAAAAATAATAAAGTATTAAATTTTTCATTTGGCCTTTTGAATTATGAAATACAAGGGCGGATTTGTATCTATACCCAGTTTTTGGGTCACAATTGAACTTATACCCGCTTTGTAACAAAAATTGCAAGACTACCCGCTTTTGGAATAACTTCAGACATACGGGCCTGAAGTAGCAAAAGCTTATGTCTGAAGTTTGAACTTCAGAATTTTTTGACTGAGGTGTGACTTTATCAAAGCAAAACTTCATATATTTTCGCCTGAAGTTTGGGCTGAAAAACTTCAGTTCATAGTGCAAACTTCAGACAAAATAGTCTGAAGTTCTTCAGTTTGTAGTGCAAACTTCAGACCCGCTAAAGAATTTCAGACTTGGAGAGGAGAAAAGAGAGCGATAATTGAAGCTAAACGTGGAGAAGATCTTCATATAGCAGAGGAGACAACAACAAAACACCATGCCACTGAAACTTCTCCAAAGAAAACTCTACTTGGATGTTTTTGAAGTGGCAAATTATCAGACTGATATACATTATTGGTCATAAACATTGTATAGTAGAGTTTGTGGATTGGAAATTTCTTTGTATTAGAAATACTGTGAGATTACGCCTTGTAAAATCAATTGCTTTCGTTATTACAAGCATAAAAATTTATTCAAGTGTATACAACACCTGAAGAAACTTGTATTGAAAAAACTTAAGAAACCTTCCATGTTAGCAATATGACCAACTCCAGAAGAAGCCTCTTTACTCAAAAGTTTCGAAATCAATAATACTTACACATAGTCTCATGTGTTTGAGAGAGAAAAGAAGAAGAAGAGGAGGAAAAGAAAGGAGGAAGAAAGAAGCGCACAGGTCGCTGGAAGAAGGAGGCGCCTGAAGTTGTAAAAATTAGGGTATAGGTTAAATTATTTTAAAAATAAGGGTATAGGTTAAATGGGGGTGACCAAATAGGGCGCCCCGTGTAATTTTTACGAAATACAAGCCAACAAGCAACAAACCCAAATCCTAATTCCTAAACCTGTTATGCTACTCCTAGAAACTAAATTATTTCTAGCATATTCACTTGCAAGACACAAAGTATTCTAGCGATTATTAGTAGCATACTGTAATGTATTGAATATGTTTCCTTTCGTATGATTTAGATTTATCTTTTTGAATATTTAAAATGTCTAGAGAATTTTGTAAAGTCCTATAAAAGTACATTTGTTGCTGCATTCTACTTTTACTAGTGACTTTTACATGACATTTAAAAAAAATTGAAAAATAACCAAACCGTAACGATACAAAAGAGAAACCTACATGATTGAGACGGTTTCGAAAAGTTTAATTTTAATTATGCATAATAGAATAAACCGAAAAATTGGTATCGTACGGCTGAACCGTTGACACCCCTACTTATTGGCGGAGAGACCCGACTTCTTGAGAAGCAAAATATATAGGCTGTATTTTTCTGCTTAAGCAATAAAAGAAAAGAAAAGAAAAATTCCCAAACATGAGGGTACTATATATATATAT